ACGGGCTTCTTCAGGATCTTTAAATAAATGCACATTTTTTTGCAGCTAATAAACAAAGTGTGCATTTACTTTGTTTTTTCTTTTTAAAAGGAGCCTGGAAAGCATTGCACCCATGGTCAGCAGATCACAGGTGCCATGCAGGACTCCTGCAGACTGTCAGTGTATCTGTGTGCTTGTACCTCATATTGGCAATCAGTTTCACACTGACAGGAAAAAAATCAATGAACTACCACAGTGCTCAACATGACGCAGTGACACGCTTTTCAAATAGTGACTGATGGTATGGGGAACACCTCCCCATACTGCTGTCACGCACAGTGCTCTGATCGCTGAGCCATTGAAGGAGTGGAAACTAAAAATGGGCAGAGCATGTAACATGTTCCCAAAGGTGAACTTATCTCTTTAACAGTGACAGAAGTATAGTATTGTCTTGGAATCCCTAGTTATACAAAGGGCAGAAGACATATTAATACAGCCAGCTGAAACTTCCACATAACCTTATATGCTGTGCTAAGTAAACACTTCATTACACATAACTGGAGTGTGGCAAAACAAGGTATATGGAGCAGGTGTAGTTCTATCTACAATCAATTCCCTACGCACCACAGTTCTATATTACAAAAGTGAAGGAGTGGGCATAGCCACATAATAAATACATATATGTAAGCGGTTTTACCCTTCTATGATTGGGTAGCAAGATACCAGATAGTGCATCACTCTTCTCACTTTATGTAGAAAGTCTGAAAAATGGCAAGAGCCACTGCTAAAACTATCCGGAGAATAAAATGGAACATATTAGATCAGTCCAATATGGTGATCCCTGTACTCCCCAGAGCTTGTAAAGAGAGCCCTCTGATCACTTGTCATCTTCATTGTTTTCCATTCATAGCAGTGACACCATCCATCTTCACAAGCATGGTGATGTATTCTGCTTACATATTAAGGCTCTAGTGCCCAAACCTGGACAAGGCTAGCCATCTAAATCTGTATACATCCAATACATAGCACCAGCCACTTTATTAGGTACGCTTTTCTGGTGTCAAGAAAATATCCCCCACACTATGACACCACCACCCTGAACCATTGATGTAAGGCAGGATGGATCCATGCTTTCATGTTTATGCCAAATTCTGACCCTACCATCTGAATGTTGCAGCAACCAGTCTGCCTATTCTCCTCTGACATCAACCAGGTATTTTTGTCCACACAACTGCCACTCACTGGATGTTTTCTCTTTTTGGATCATTTGCTGTAAACCCTAGAGATGGTTGTGCGTGAAAATCGCAGTAGCTCAGCAGTTTTTTAAATACTCAGACCAGCCCGTCTTGCAACAACAACCATGCCACGTTCAAAGTCACTTAAATCCCCTTTCTTCCTCATCCTGATGCTTGGTTTGAACTTCAGCAAGTCATCTTCACCACATCTAGATGCCTAAATACATTGAGTTGCTGCCATGTGATTGGCTTATTAGCAATTTGTGTTACTAAGAAATTGAACAGGTGTACCTAATGAAGAGGCCGATGAGTGTAGATCTATATGCTATACATATTTATAGATATACTTTTTTTTTTTATATCAGTAGCTGAGGGAAGACTATGGCATCAATTTACTAAAGGAGTTGAGGAAGCTCACTTGGCAAAATGAATGGTAGTAAAAAGGTAGAATGTGTTCATTTCAAGACCTGATTTTTTTTCCCCCTCACATGATTTGGTATGACTACAGGATCACCTTATTTATCAATATGTACTTGCTTTTTTTATCAATATATATTTACAAAAAAGAATAACCTTGTTTTCACTCAATATGGGAAAGAACAGATCTTTGTTCAAACATCAGCAAATAGGGCCCAATGAATGCTATCCATGCTGTACTTCTGTCAGTAAGGTGATCCTATAAAATGATCAATGAGAATGCCTTTACGGATTTCTCCTTCACTGATATTCTTTTCTGTATAGCTTCCCTTAAAAAAAAATTGCATTCTCTATATTAGTGTTAAAAAAAAAAAAAAACTTTTCAATATTAACTCCCCTCTAAATATTTAGCTGAGCCTGATCTCAATCCAGCACAGCACACATCTGCAGCAGCTCTTCTCCACTCTCCCACAGGCTTGGCTGAGAGCAGCAGGAGCCATTGACTCAACTCCTGCTGCTGTCAATCAAAATGTGTGAGCAGAAAAGTAGGAGGCGGGGCCAAGCCACAACGTGCATCTGAATAGACAAACAGCCCAACTCAGGACCAAGCCTACATGAGTGTCCCATAACAAGTGGTTTGCTATTAGGGCACTTGGAAAGGAGGATGAGCCCAGAGTGCCAGAGGGGGAGGTTCAGGGCCACTTTGTGAAAAACCATTGCACAGAGTAGATAAGGATACAAGGTTTGTGGTTTAAAAAATAAAAGTTTACAATCGCTTTAACATCTTGCTGTGTAAGACTGTTCCAGTTCAATTAATTTTCAACCACAGAATTTCTACTATAGCAATAGAAAATATTAAAGTGTTACTAAACCCACAACGGTAAAATCAGTATGTATATACAGTAAAGCATGCTGGTTATACTCGCTGTGGAACCTTCTCTGATCCTCCCCTTCTACTGTTCCCAATATGTCTCCTGGTAGAACTTGGCTTGGAGGAAAGCTGAACATGCTCAGTTTGGTGTGTATTGCTAGTTATTTTTCCTGGGGTTCTGCAGCCTCATTAGGGAAGAATGAAAACTCCTCCTACAAGCTTTTACCAGTGCTCTGCTGGGCACTGATCGGAGTCACAAGACTGCTCCAACTGCTTTTGAGAAAAGATATTTAGCAGCTTATATTTACTAAAATAATAGCATTTCTGTGTACTGTGAGAGACCAGATATGAATGCAGGGTCCTGGGTTTAGTAACACTTTAAAGTGCACCTGAAATCAAAATGTGAATTACTTTTTTTAGTAGCGAACGTCTAGATTTGCAAATGTGCCAAAGGAGTATCTTGAAAATGTACATTTTTTTGTTTTTTGGATAAAAAAAAACCCAAAAAAACCCAGCAGTACACTTCCTAGTGTGAGGGTGTCCAACCATGCATGTGCCTAGCCTCATAGCTGTATATCTGCAGTGTGAGATCTAAGGGCACTGCAGCCTTTGGAGTGCTAGTCTAAGGAGACTTAGAGCAAGAATTGGTGATGTCATTAGTATGCTGATTATGATTCTTCCAACTGAAAGCTGTGACTCTATCATGATGGCCAACGCAACACATCCAAGACAGTGCAGAACAACATATGGAGTACAAGTCATTATTGGGGGGAAAATCTGAGAGACCATAAAGAAATGCTGGTGATTAGTCCTTTGTCATCTGCCTGCCTCTTTTTTTTTTTTTCTAACTAGGCAAAGCTTCCAGATTTCATCTTTAATGCTGCACAGGGTGTTTTAACTCCTAATTTATATCTTCAATTAAGAAGGCTTTAATTTTTCAAAAGGACCCCAGACACACAGGGCCATGCCACCACATCATTCAAACAATGTTAAAGAAAAGACTTCAGTTTACCAAGAAATATTTTATAAAAGCTTTGTTAAAAAAAAAAAAATAAAATTGAATTATATTACAGAAATTATATAAGTGATGAAAAAAAATGAAGTATGGGTGAAAAGGCACAGAGTGGTGTTTAGATTAGAGTGCATTCTGTAAACATAAGAGTGCATTCTGTAAATATAGATTAACTGCTTCCTTACAAATGAACACAATTTATTCTATGAAAAAAGAAAATTCTTTTGTACCCCGTAGTGAACAGATTATTACACTCCAATTATTTTTGAAGTGCTGTAAGAAAACTTAGCTCAACACTGTTTAACACTGACGTAATGGTGGAATAAGAAAGAAGCTGGGTTGATACGCCGGAAATCACCAGGCTAATATGTTCATTACCAAAGACAGCTCACAAATCAAGCTGGTGGGAAGAATTTGATGAGGATACTGTTAGCATAAAGAAAGGTCTTGGCATTAAATACAGAACGTTAAACTTTTAAACAACTCTACACTTTAGTTGGGGAACACAACTACAATAAAATAGGAGTCCCTGAATAAAGTGTATTTCCACCAGAACATTTTTTTTGTTTTGTTTGGGATAAAGTGGGAATTAATTAGAACCATTCAGGCTTTTAATGCTATACAAGGCTCCATAAGAGGGATTTCCCCTCACTTACTATCCTGTTAACTACTGCTTCACCCAAGAGGAATTGAGGAAAAATCTGCAAAAGATAAAAACAAAAAAATCTTTTTTTTTTGTAAGTATAAGAAAAGATCAGAACCTCTTTAACCTTTTTATTTCCATCTGTGTGGCAGATTTTCCCTCACTTTGAGGAAACCGCTGTCATTGTGACATTATGGAGGGGAAATGCCTCTGTCAAGAGCACTGGATAGCAGTAAAAACCATTTGGAGATCCAATACTTCCCCATGCTATCTTTTTGCTAATCCTACACTTTAAGTACACACAAGTAAACATGTTATCAAGGACTGCATAGTCCACTTGGCAAGTTCTAACGTATCCTTGGTAGGTGGTTTTCAGTATCCAGAGAAGCAGTAATATACTGTTCAGCTACACATTATGTTATGGAGGTTCAAAACAGTTGCAGAAAGCTGTTGAACATAGAGAGGACGCCTCTGATGCAAGCGTTTGTTTTGTTCAATCAAATCTAGGCATGTAGAGTGGCTCAAAGCATAGTTTGTGCTCTATTAAAATTGCTGACCTTTCTTCATAAATACAAAATACCTAAGAGAGAAGGTGTAATTAAAGCAACTCTTTCACAAGCTGCTCAACAAATCTAACAACTGAATTTCACTGCTTACACATGACTCAGTGTCTTCAAAACCCAGTCCTGTTTAATTTATTTTATTAAAGCTGTGTTATATTATTATATTTAAGTCCCAGACTTCCCCTCCCAATGCTGGAGTCTTCTCTGTGGTGGAAGCATTCAAGATGATGTGTGTGGAAGACTCTGTAGGAGAGGAGAAAAGTAAAAGGCAGTACATTGTTTATTCCCCTCTACGTTTTGAAGGTGGAACTAAATGTGAAGGTAGCTCAGCTGGCAATTCATGACCTTCTAGCTTTACTTTTATTAAGTGGTTTGCTAAGGCAAATTCTTCATCATCAAGAAGCCCATCACGGTCCACATCTGCCAACTTCCAGATTTTACCCAGCACTGTGTTGGGAAGTTTGGACTTCACCATTTCTTTCTTTGCACTGGCACCGGTGATCTTTCCATTGACAGGTGAAAGAGTATAGAAGATTTCATCATACGTTGGTTTATCTTTGCCTACTACCCATTCTAGGTCATCGATGCCTTCTCCAGCTCCCTCACCATAGCCATGGCCAAACGGACCATTCATGGTTCCTTCAAATGCACCACCTTTAACGACCTGGTTTGTCATTTGGGATTCTTCCTGCCGTACCATGACCATAAGCCGTGCAATGTCATTGGCCAGCATGTCATCTACTGTGTCCAGCAATTTTGGCTTCAAGGACTGGAACTTGGCGAAATCCTGTGTCATTAAAACTTCCTAAAAAATATAACAAACAAGAGTTTTTTTTTTCTGAAATTTAAGAAGTTGATAGTGTATTACAATTAAGCAAACATGTTTTACCACATTTTAATTTGTACCCTGTAGTACAGATAGAAACTTTTTCTTAACATTTCTGCTGTCAGAATAGTTTCTGCTGTTATGGACTGACACCATTTTCTGATAGAAATCATTGTATGCTTAAAGTGGTATTAAGTACAATTTTTATTTATCTAGGTCCCCTGCAACATTATGCCATAATGTGCTAGTATACACTACATATTAACATATTATGACAGACTTGCCTGTCAAAAGTAAGACATTCAGTGCTGTCCTATCAGTGCAGGGGCGCGTCTACCTTCACGCAGTCTTCTTTCAGGGTTCCTTTAAAAATATTGATATCACTCAAACTAACAGCCATACAACATCCAGAGCAATGATGTGCAAAATAAACAATCTTACAATATAAAAACTACCAAATGTACTGTTCAAAAAGCAAATATGTGCGTATTAAGCTGTGTCAAAAGTAAAGTGCATACAACTGTTATGCAAAATATCTGAAAAATATTGCTCTGCAAAATACACAATAATAAATAACCTTCAATATAGAGTGCAATCTATCATATAAATGTGCAAAATATGCAATTGCAAATTAACAAATAATTGTACAAAAAAATACGATCCAAGTGCCCTTATGCATAAAAAGTGCTCCAGTGCTTGTGTGTTTCCACAGAAAGCCAAGCCTCTCACCATACCAAATTGAACTCAGGTAAAACAGATCAGTAGCTCTTGAAAGTAGACCAGGATGAGAGCCGATGCTCACACCACTAGACCTCTCCGTCATTCAGTAACCCGACTCAGATTCAGCAACTCTGGCCCCAGCACAGGGCTATGTATTCCAATCTCTGCTCCACCAAACACTCCTTTGCAATGATGTACATTAGATGTAAAGTAGAAGTCTGATAGCGTAATGTGTAAGAACTCAAGTTTTAATCGAAAGTTATAAAACCTTGAACTATACCGTGACTCAAGAATTTAATTTATTTTGTTAATTTGCTTTTGCATATTTTTACATTTATATATCATCTTGAACGTTTTCCATTATAGTGCATTTTGCACAGCAATATTTTCAAGTGGGTTTGAATAACAGTTGAATGCACTTTACTTTTAAAACAGCTTAATTTGCACATATTTACTTTTTGCACAGTTCATTTGGTAGTTTTTATATTGCAAGATTATGGTTTTGAACATTATTGCTCTGGATGTTGTACAGCTATTTTTGTATGCTGAGGAGCTGTTCACATTATGGGTCACGTATCAGTTTGAGTGATGTCAATATTTTTAAAAAGGGATGGCGCACTTTTTTTTTTTTTACATTTAGAATCCAGTATTCAGGGTTTCCAAAGTGCAGCAGTCTAATACCAATTAGAATCTAGCGTAGGGTGTTTTTTTTTTTTCATAATTCTTTCAGGGTTCGCTCGTTTGGCCACTTTAACTGCTTCCCGTCCACCCTTTAGCAGAGGACAACTTCCGCTTCCAATCGCCTCAGGCGATCGCAGCAGACGTGGGAGTGGGTACCTGTCAAATTCGGGTACCCGCTCCCCAAAAGGTGCCAATCCTTAATGGGGAGCGGGGGACGAAGACTTAAAGCGGGACTTCCACTTTTGGGTGGAGTTCCGCTTTAAGAATAAGAGGCAATAAATCTAGGCTGAAAAGAATACTAATCTCAGTTTCTCAAGGGAAGGCTGCCCAACATTACATTTGAAAAGTTGACAGCCTTTATATAGAAATAAATGGAGATAGTGGCATGCATGCGTGAAAGAGGAGAAGGTACAGAGGCTTTTGAAGTGGGAGCCGTGTGGCTCCCAGCAAATATCGCCAAGGAGCGGGGCAAGGAAATACAATATTGCTTTAATAAATGGGTCAAGAAGCAGCTTACAAAGCCAGTCTGTATCTGACATGACAGAGGGAAGTCCTCATTTTCAATCACTCTGATACACATGGATCTACATAATGGCAAAAGCAATTATGTAAACATCTTTTTTAGCCTGCTGTTAAATTTAGTCAGATTCAATACGCATTTCCTTCTGATTTCTTTATTGTTAAAAAAATGTGTTTTATCATACAGTGCGTTGCAAGGAGAAACACAGAGTCCCAAACTATAAGCAGATTAAACTTTTGCGTAACACCATGCACGCACAGGAACACACCATTTGCAGTGGTCAATAGAAAGTTAATGACACCCCCAAACTCAGGTTGCAAACAGTGCGTTTGCCAGCACCTGCCCACACCAGTTCGCATTGTACTTTTGTACCATGCGATCCAGTTGCAATGCGTTATAAAAAAAAAAATCACTTTTGGTGCAGTGCGATCTCACCGATTCATTATGAATGGGTTGAAATCACACCGCACAAAACCGCATAGGAACGCATAGCGTATTCCTGTGCGGGCATGGTGTGAACTGGCCAGTAATGTATATACTACATATCTGTTTAACTGAATTTTTTGTCAGACTCATCAAACACCTTTACTGAAACTTTCTTTGTATAGTGAACTGCTAACCATTGTTGCAAGCATAATGCAAATTAACTTCTGAAGCATAGGACGTGCAACATCTGTACAGGGAATTTTTTTTTTTTTTTTTTTTTTTAAAGGCAGTGCCTGACCTACACAGAGGATTTCATTCCATGTATTTTCTTATGACCTCAGTTCTCACCTGCATTTTCTTAATGTTTGGAAAGTCTCCAGGAGAAATCTGATGCTCCTTTTCAATTTTCATATAGATTTCACCAAGGTTGTTAATAAGCTCCTTCTTCTTATTGTCTTTCCCGAATACATTTGGCATTTCTTTTTTTAATGCACTGATAATATAGGCATGGACCTGAAACAAGCAATAAGCAACACTTAGAGCCAGCTATTTAAAGTGGAAGAAAACATGGAAATCAGCTTTAAAACATGAAAATGACCATGGAGTTGTTACAGAAATGTAAAAGGTTACACCTGTTTCTCACCTTGGCCAGCCTAGCTCTTTTAATGAGGTCATTTAGCTTGCGAAGAGCAGCATTCCTTGGCAGTGACTGTATGTCCTTGAACAAGTCTTGTTCCTCAGCTTCAAACAGTTTACGATTGTCTGGTATGAGCAGTGGATGGGACCAGAATGAACCAATGTACACACGAACCACCTCTGGTGTGTTGATTATCTTGCCCAATGACCACATGAGGGCTCCATATACTCTCATAAGCTGCTGGGTTTCGATTTGATCTGCCTTGTTAAGCACAACACGGATTTTATCTTCATGGTTTTTGAGAGCTTTGATAACTTCAGAAAACTCATCTGATATATCCAGCTTGTGGGCATCAAAGAGCAGAATGATACGATCCACTCGCTCCGCGAACCACTCCAGGACTGCAGCAAAGTCATAGCCTGTGAGAACAGAAAAGAGATTTTCAGGTTAGATAAGATAAAAGCAAGAGGAGAATATACACACACACACACACACACACACACACACACACACAGTCTCTGCCCCTGATCCCCCTCTGAGCACCGTTACTTTGTTTCACCCCCTAATCCCCTCCTAGTATCACCTTTTAGAGAATACAGAACCGAGTATCATTTTGTGGTGCTAGGCGATTTGCAAAAAAAGATGTTTTAATAACAAGAAAAGGCAGTAAAATAGATCCCCTGTAGCCAGCAACAATAGACCCTCCAGCAACAACAGATCCTCCAGAAGCCAGCAACAATAGACACCCCCCCCCCCAGCAACAATCGATCCTCCAGCACTCCCTACCATTACACACATTCAGTGCTGGAGGTGCCGGAACTGCGCTCCCCCTGAAAAAAAGCCACACACACACCATTCATCATTAGATTCAGGTGTTCCAATCACCTTCACGGCTACAGGTGTATAAAATCAAGCACCTAGGCATGCAGACTGCTTCTACAAACAGTTGTGAAAGAATGGGTTGCTTTCAGGAGCTCAGTGTATTCAAGTGTGGTACCATGATAGGTTGCCACCTGTGCAATAAGTCCATCTGTGAAAGTTCCTGCTACTAAATATTCCACTGTCAACTGTTAGTGGTATTATAACAAAGTGGAAGCAACTGGGAGCAACAGCAACTCAGCCACAAAGTGGTAGGCCACGTAAAATGACAGAGCAGGGTCAGCGCATGCTGAAGTGCACAATGCGCAGAAGTCGCCAACTGTCAATAGCTAAAGACCTCCAAACTTTGTGTGGCCTTCAAATTAGCAGAACAACAGTGCGTAGAGAGCTTCATGGAATGGGTTTTCATGACCGAGCAGCTGCATCCAAGCCTTACATCACCAAGTGCAATGTAAAGCGTCGGATGAAGTGGTGTAAAGCATGCCACCACTGGACTCTAGAGCAGTAGAGACGTGTTCTCTGGAGTGACCAATCATGGTTCTCTGACTGGCAATCCGATGGACGTGTCGGGGTTTGGCGGTGGTCAGGAGAACAGTACTTGCTTGACTGCATGCCAAGTGTAAAATTTGGTGGAGGGGGGATTATGGTTTGGGGTTGTTTTGCAGGGTTTGGGCTTGGCCCCTTAGTTCCAGTGAAGGGAACTCTTAAGATGTCAGCATACCAAGACATTTTGGACAATTTCATGCTCCAAACTTTGTGGGAACAGTTTGGGGATGGCCCCTTCCTGTTCCATGACTGCGCACCAGTGCACAAAGCAAGGTCCATAAAGACATGAATGTGCGAGTTTGGGGTGGAGGAATTTAACTGGCCTGACCTCAACCCGACAGAACACCTTTGAGATGAATTAGAGGGGAGACTGCAAGCCGGGCCTTCTTGTCCAACATCAGTGTCTGACCTCACCTCTGGAAGAATGGTCAAACATTCCCATAGACACACTCCTAAACCTTGTGGACAGCCTTCCTAGAACAGTTGAAGCGATTATAGCTGCAAAGGGTGGGCCAATTCAATATTGAACCCTACAGACTAAGACGCCATTACAGTACATGTGCATGTAAAGGGAGGCGTCCCAATACTTTTTGCAATATAGTGTATGCTTTAACCATTTGCTGTAGTCTCTTCATTTACAGAACAATGAAATGAATGTACTGCAAATGAGATGATTGTTAACAAGTGGGTAATTCTCACTTCTGTAAATATGTATAATTGCTCATGCAGCTCTGACTGAAAAAAAAAAAAAAAAGTTGACACCCACACCAGTGTTATACTTTGTTTCGATTTTTGGTTGATATTCTGTCTCTATCATTTAAAATACACCTATGATAAAAAAAAAAATCATAGACCTTTCATTTGTAAGTGGGAAACTTACAAAATCTGCAGGGGATCAAATAATTATTTTCCTCACTGTACGCAAAAATTATTTAATTTGCTTAGTTTGTCCCATCACCATATATTTTTTTCTATAGATTTTAATTTTGAAGTTAATTAGCAGTTTTTTAAAACTGATGCTTTAAAGAGTTAAAACTCCATACATACCAAGATAAGCATACCAAAGAAAAGTACCTGCATACAAATGTCAGGGTCCTGGCAACAGCTGGGGAAGCCTCATGTGGTTTGCAGTGATCTGCACATCATATGAGGCTTCTCTAGCTGCTGCCAGGACTATGGCTGATATTAGGGCCAGGGAGGAAAAGCAGCCATAGCACTGTATCACACAGACCCTCTGACACTCCCATAAGTTTCAGAAGTGGAGAATAAAAATGTTATGTTTGCAACAGAGTAGAAGGAGGCAAATAAATGCTGCCAAGGGTCCCATTCACACATCCATAGAGTCAAGACAGCAGATTCCTGCAGATAGAACAGCAGATTCTTGTGGCTGGAATCACAGGTGATTGTAGACAGTCTAGGATTCCAACCACAAGAATCTGCTGATTCTTGCCACAGGAATCCACTGTTCGGACCTTATAGGATGTATGAATGAGGTGTAAGGCATTTTTAAAACGTTCCACTAAGTTTTGTGTTTTATTATTAAAAGTCACCAGCTACAAAAAAACTGTATTTGCTGACTTTTAATAAACGCACACTCACCTGTCCCAGGGTCCAGCGATGTGCTCACCCACGCCATCCCTTCTCCGCCTCTTCTCTCCCCGACATCACAACTGTGGGCAGCAGGCTGTGGCAGCTTGCGGCTTCACAGCCAGGTGCCCACTGCACATGCGCGAGTCGTGTTGCGCATTCTTATTGGTCCGGCAGTCTTCTGCGACATGAAGGTTCCCAGGAGACTGCGGGAGGAAGGAGGGGGCCGAACTTACAGCTCACTTCACCACGGCGAGCTAGAAGTGAGAGCAAGTACCTGTCAAAAACAGGTATCCGATCCCCCCTCACTCCCAAAAGGCGCCAAATATGCACTGGACGGGGGGAAGGGGGGGGGGGTTTAGGGAGGATTCAAATAAGCGGAGCTTCTACTTTTGTGTGCCAGCTATCTTGTTACACATCTCAAGAATCAGTCCCATGCTATTTGAGGTGATGTCATCAGTGGATATGAAAGCATTTATCTCTAAACTCCTCATGCCAGCATGAAACCAACTCTCCAATATGTCGTCCACTTTTGTATGCACCTCTCCCAGCTAGAAGAGGGCACAGAGCAGAACTGTACTAGAGAATGTGGCATATTAGGAACTTGGTAATATTAGGTTATATAACCAGACATCTGGTTCTGTTTCATACAATAAATTCACTTTTCTACTAAGTCAAACTAAATGGTAGCTTGTCGTCAAGCAGTATAATTGTATAATATGATTTAACACTAGGCTGTCAAAGTGTCTGAACAGTTTCAATACTGGACACTTTCACCCACTTCTTACCGGGGCCAATTTTCAGATTTCAGCGCTGTCACACTTTGAATGACAATTGTGCGGTAATGCATCACTATACCCAGATGACATTTTTATATATATATATATTTTTTAAAACAGATAGATAAAGATTTGTTTTTGGCGGTATTTAATAAGAAAACATTTTTTAGTCTGTTATAAAGTTTTGCAAATAAGTAATTTTTCTTCACTGATGTGTGCTGATAAGGCTGCACTGAAAGCGCAAATAATCAGGGCACTGTTGGTCACGGACCTATTAAATGGTACTCACTGTGCCCCTCACAGATCAGCTCTCCTTGTCTATGTGTGAAGAAAGGAGAGGCAATAACTGGCAAAGGCTTTTTACCATGTGATCAGCTGTATTCAATCACAGCTGTCACCGATCTGATGTGTCCAAGGCACAGAGCGGTCACAGAGCCCCCTGGCTGCATACCCCTGGGGGCACGCAGGAGGAAATCCAGGGACGTCCTTCCCAGAACTAGAGAGACGCGCTGTATCCATTTATCAGATATAGTGTTGTGTTAAAGTGGTTAACTTACAAAATAGGAAGTGGGTTTGTACCTTGCATACTAAAGGGTTTATTTATAGATGTGAATGTGACTTATCAAAACTCTCTTTGGTGGAGATTCAATCACTTATTAACCACTTCAATAATGGGCACTTCCACCACCTTCATGCACAGGCCAATTTTCAGCAATGCCACACTGTGAATGGCAATGGTGCAGTCATGCAACACTGTACCCATACAAAATTTTTATTTTTTTGTTCACACAAATAGAGCTTTCCTTTGATGGTATTTAAATCACTTTTTTTTTTGTTTGTCTTTAATTTTTTTTTGGATTGTGTTTTTTGTTTTTTCTATTTACATTAGCAGGTTAATATTTACAGTGAAGGAAATAAGTATTTGATCCCCTGCTGATTTTGACTGTTTGCCCACTCACAAAGAAATGATCAGTCTAAAAATCGAATGGTAGGTGTATTGTAGCACAGACAGAATAGCAACAGAAAATTCATAAGAAATGCAAGTCTAACAAATGATGCACTGATTTGCATGTTCATGAGGGAAATAAGTATTTGATCCCCTTCCCAAAACATGACTTAGTACTTGGCAAATCCCTTGTTGGCAATCACAGAGGTCAGACGTTTCCTGTAGTTGGCCACCAGGTTTGCACACATCTCAGGAGGGATTTTGGCCGACTTCTCTTGGCAGATCCTCTCCCAGTCATTAAGGTTTGGTGGCTGACGTTTGGCAACTCGAACATTCAGCTCCCTCCACAGATTTTCAATCGGATTAAGGTCTGGAGACTGGCTAGGCCACTCCAGGGCCTTAATGTGCTTCTTCTTGAGCCACTCCTTTGTTGCCTTGGCCGTGTATTTTGGGTCAGTGTCATGCTGGAACACCCATCCATGACCCATTTTCAATGCCCTGGCTGAAGGAAGAAGGTTCTCACCCAAGATTTGACGGTACATTGCCCCGCCCATCGTCCCATTGATGCAGTGTAGTTGTCCTGTCCATTTAGCAGAAAAACACCCCCAAAACAGAATGTTTCCACCACCATGTTTGACAATTGGGATGGTGTTCTTGGGGATATAGTCAGCATTCCTCCTCC